TTCTCAGCAATCCCACTCTCATCCCATTGGACCCCCCGAATGGCCGTGACATGACATGCCTCGACTTCATCGATATCCCCGGGGATAGTCGGCCGCAAAGGAGCTCCTCCTCAGTGGCACTGGCCACGTACCCCGTGTCCTCGGTCGGTCGTGGCCAATATTCCCCTCCCCTTCCCGTGCTCCGTGCTGTCACACCGGCCCTTTCCCAGCCAGCCGCTTCTCCATGTCTCGCCTCGCGAATCGCAGAATGTCTCGTAAATAAAAAACATGCCAAGGACAGAAGAAGATCCAAGCTTCCACCCGCCCGCGCACCAAGCACGAAAAGACAATGGCTCACCTCCTCCCAGCCCTCTTCCGCCTCCTCTCATGTCTCAGAGCCTTGAAACAGCGGCAGGTAGAACCGCGCCCGTGGTGCTGGCTGACCACCAGATGTCCGATATGTGCTAGACGTGGAGCCCATGTAGAACGGGAGGTGGGGAGATCTCGATGATTTCGGATATCGCAAGGAGACCAAACAGCACGGGATAGAGGATCAAGGGACATGCTCGTGGATCTTTTCCCGACGATCGATGCCTGTGCTTTTTTCCACGGAAAGTGTCCTGTCTCATCTGCGAACGACTATGCGTCGGTTTCCTCCCCCCTTGAGTGTGCAGCTTCGTTGCCCCTTTCCTCGCGCTGACATCGGCTTTGCACTTTGGCCCTGGGGTTCCCTCTCTCTCTCTCGCGCGGATATGAATTCGTCTGGGTCAAGAACAATAGTCATTGGCTAGCCGGGAGAGGGGGAAAGCGAGGCTCAGGATAGCCACAGCTGAGCAGGCGAGGCGCAGGGTCTCGTGAAGAGTTGTGATACGCGAGGATCTCTCGGCATCTCGTCTGCCGACCCCCAAAAATGGAGCGGGAGGCTGCATCAAAGAGGGAGGGGTCTCTGTATTGGCACGTCTTTGGGCGGCTACCCGTGGCGCGTCGTTTGACGTCGTATAGACCATTACAGCCTGTCGGGAAGGCCGCCACGCTCTGCCCTCCTATCGAGGGCGGAATATCCCCTCTTTGATGGTGATGACACGTTCAGGCAAGTCCTGCAGAACATACGACGTTCCGTTTCCCGAGACGCCTGCGGTCTCAAGCCGCAGCGTGGCCTCGCCGCCGACGACATAGCTGATGAGCCCTGGGCGTACGAGCGTAACGGCACGGTAGAGGAGGGAAGGCTACACGGCTGAGGCTATCGTCTTTGCGTCACCGGTGGTGGCACCAGCAACGACCAGATTCTTGGACTCGCAGAGGGTGAGCGTGGCGGTAATGGGCACGCGCAGGATGTTGGACCAGAGCTGAGCGGCCGGCGAGCTTGGAGGATCTGCGACGTATCAGCCCGGACCAATTCGTTGGTGAGGTCTCGTGATGTTGACCCAAGGCAGGAAACTAAAATGGTAAGTACGATGGTGTATTTTCGTGATTCCTTGCCCCGGCTGTAGATACTGGCCTTGTACAACACGATGACAGTCTAAACGTGTTCGCGTGGCAACATCGTCGGCCCGACTGTTTCCATACGGAGCCTCTTTCTCGTAATCGAATGCGATATCTCTGGACGCACTTATCCAGTAAATCGGTGGTCGCTGGCCTGCCTGACCCTGCGTTGTCTGCTTCATGTCACAAGCTTAGCAACATGCTTACTACGCTGAACGTTCTCTCCGAGCATGAGGTCATCCTCCAGTCGCATGAAAACGTTGCCTCGGGCTGGTAATCGCAGGATCACACAGTGTTTGACTGAGGATGACCTCCGTCAGTATCACAAGCCTCTCATGTGAACTCGTTCGGTAACGACACACAACTCGCACGGCGCCATGCCCAACCCAGCAGGCCGACCCGACGCTCGCGTGAAAGCTGCATTGTAACCCTCGGCCAGCGCCCATCACGGATCCGTACCCCTGTCATCAGGCCATGCTTCACTCACCCTGACCACCAGGTTTCCAGACGTCCCAAAAACCGCTTCCTATCAATTTTATTGTATAGCGAGAGGACAGATGTACCTTTCTCAAAGCAACAAGTATCTCCTCTCCCGATGGTCTGCCTCGGTGAACTACACCCCCTGCTCATGCTCCCCATGCAAGCGACTCTACGCGTTCCCCCCCCCCCAAGAGCCCGGGGAGATATCGCGTCAGGGGGGGAGATTTCCCCCTCACCAGTCCGGGGAAACACCGCGCCACGGTCTTGTCACGCCGGGGAAATCTCGTAGCGCAAGCCACTGTGCAGAAAGCTGCCTCATGTGTTCGCAACGTAGTCCCAACTCAAGATGATGCCGCGATGCAGATGGTCAGGGGGGAAAGGGCTTCTACCGTTCGATATGCCGTGCGATGCCCCTGGCCTGGCTGGGAGACTCTCGACCCATGACGTCTACCCCAACTCTTGCGCGTACGCCTACCTCGGCATTAACCACAGCCCTGTGTTCGGCACAGGCAAGAGCCTTCCCCCCCCCAGACTGGATAGATTGGAATAAGCAACCAACACGGCACACGCGCGGTGTCATCTGGACGACAAGCGACATGATGCAAGGCGACCACGGGATGAACGCCAGGCTACAGCGTCGCATCCCTTCTCCCTCGGCGGGAGATGCGGGGAGAGCGCAACATTGCACATGTAGGCATTGGGCAGGACTGTGCTCAATAGCATTCGGGGGCGGCATGAAATCCAACAATATCCAACGTCACACTCTGGCTTTCCCGGCCCTTTGCCCGCCAAGCCCAGGGCTGCACGACTCAGCCCTCGTCTCCGCAATCAGCAGACGCAGAAAACCAGCCATCCAACGGCGGCGCAAGTAAATCGAGAGCCGGACGCGAGCATGTCAGACGCTGAAAGAAACTTTCCGCCTGGAGCGTCCTGGCAGGGCTGAACGCCCCTCCCCCATCTGGAGTGACATGACCTCTCGCCTGCAGCGGCAGACTGATGCACAACAACACGTCGGTGGGGAGCCATTCTTACACCGCTCGCCGTCTTCGGATCCTTTGTTACAGGTCAAGTCGGGATTGTTTGACAGACACGTAGTGACTTGAGCGTGGACAAAAAAGGTTCCCACGAGCTCAAAGCTGACCAATACGTTCATTCAGCTATCGAACCACCTGACCACATGACACAATCTGAAAGTCTGGAAGCGCGGCCCTGGATATTGGTGCACTCTGGTACGGTGGACAGTATACCTATGACGTCCAATCAGGTGAAGACGAAACGCAAAGAAACAATCATCAGCTCTCCACCCGAAAACAAGAATTACGAATAAACAACTAAAATATTGTGAATATTAATTACTGTCAGTGAGCCATTTCTTGCCAAAGAAAAATTGTCACACCGACCCACGAGCATGATCTTCTTACCACATCGTCACCGCCATGGTGGCTGCAAGATGCGCAGTCGAGATGGTCCCTAGATCCCGGGGAAACCTCGTGCAAAGCGGACTAGCCGCTGGGATAGAGCGGGGGTGGGTGTGGACGGTTCCCGGCGGACGAAAGGAACAGGCGCGAGGAGCAGGGACGAGCACGCAATGGAAGCCTCGGCCACGGCTCGGCATGCGCACATCGCACTCGAGCACCAGGCAAAGAGGAGCCAGTGACAATCATCAGCCCGTGATGGGTAGCGTGACCCTCAAGAAGCAGGAAGAGGCCAAGCAGGGTCTTTTCGACATGTGAGCAGAAAAGCCGCAAGCAAGCCTACTGAGGATAGGAGGACCCTGAAATGATGAGCGACAGTGAAGATCTTGAGATCCTGCGGGGGAGATGGCGGAAGGTTGAGGCGGCACGGGGGCGGGCTGCGGGGAGTGCTGTGGGTGTCTAACACTGTGCATGATAATCCGTCAACTCGATTGACACTAAGGGAAGGTCGCTCTCGACAAGTCCCCTGCTGTCCGCAGCATCGAGTCGATCACTGCAGAATCGATTTCGCTGCATGCGAAAAAGCGTATGCGAAGAAGCGAATCCAAGCAAGGTGGAGCAGATCAGGGCCAGGGCACTGGAGTTCGGCCTCGTGCCACCAGGCGGTTCGGCGCAATCACGGCCGTGTCTCTTGCATCAAGTCGAAGCGGCAATGTCTATCGCGCGGAGAATCTGCCGGGAGCGATGGCCTGCCTTTCTGATCGACTCGACGCTTCAGGACACAGCTCAATGCCTGCTGCCTCGTTCTGAAGGCTGGCACCCGCTTCTATGCGTGCCTTCGAGTCAGAAGGGGTCGTCTTAGTGAGAGGCCTTTGTTGCAAGCTTGTGACCAATATTGCCAATGTCCCGACAACGGTTGATGAGAGATAAAAAGAACCTCGTCTTTCGCTGCCGCAGGGGTCCTCATTGCTGCCCGATGATCCAAGGATCCCGACAGTGGGACCTTGTCACCAATTTCCAGACAAAGTGGGATTCATGAGTCCTGGCTTTGAGTGAAATCGTCCCGTCAGTCGGGTTAACAGTGACCGGCGGTGGATTCAGTGTTGGGTGCTTACGATGCCGTATGTGACTGACGAATGGATCTGTCAACGCAACGGACAGGACCCTTCTTGCAGCGGCGGCCTGGCCTCTTACCCCGTTAGCCGCAGTTCATCGGGCCAGGAACGGTATTGCTTGTCCCCAACTTTGCTAACCTTTCCGTACCCGTTGGGCTGATGCGACAAAACTTGCGTGGCAGCGGGCGGATGGACGGTTGCTCACTTCAGATGGACCCCGCCTGTCCACTTTTGTTATTTAGCCAGGCCTGCCGAGTGGCGGAGAATTGGCCCAAAGTCCCTTGTGATGAGCATCATTTGCCGCCTCTGTCCCCTCTTTGATCTACGTTTTGTCCTAGGTCAGATTGTGCGGAGTCGAGAGACACGTACCTCAACGTATTCAGGGGATGAGTCCTCCGTCGCCAGCGGTCATGCGTTGCTGTCATTGATCCTTCGGGACAGGCATACCATCTGCGAGACCTTTCCTCGGCGGACGAGAAAAAGATGAGGCGGCTAGACACTACCGCCTTCCCCGCGCAAGTCATTAAGCCCTGCGCAAGTCATCAAGCCCTGTCTGACGATCTGACAAGAGGCGGATATGGCGCAGATCACATGCGGCCCGAAGGACCCCTTTTCGCTCCTGGGTCGGACGTGAAGACGGTTGGCGGGATGCGTTGTGCGGGTCTCCGAAACCATTGATGCGGCGAAACCTTGCGGCGGCGATTGTCGAGCCCGAATTGCGATGGTAAGCAACATGCTGATGTCTGGCCATGCCATGGTCACAATAGACGGCAGAAGCTCATTAGTCAATGTTCCGTCGAGAACGGAAGGGACATGACAACCTCACTCGAGCACCCAAAGGTGCACACGTGGTCCAGCATACCGTAATGGCAGCAAATATCAAATTGACTCGCTCGTCAGACATCCCAAGACGTGGCTGTTGTCGTAGACAAGAGGGTCATCGGGCCTGGTGATTCGCTACCATCGACACCTCAGAGATTCCATCCGCCACCTAATTGTCAGAGCAGTTGTTCAGGTCCGACCAGGCTTACAACGGCGCGGAACGCCCAGCACCTTGCCGTGCTACTGGGCCCATGAATGACGACGAAGCTTTTCAAATCAGCTGATTTATCCGCAAGAGTCCTGGTCTGAATTGATTTTGAAAAGAAAGGAGAAGGCGGTTGGAGATAGCTCGAACGCCGTGGTTAGGGGACCTTGGGGCCCAGCGGCCCACCAGCAAGGCTTAAGCTCGTAGATCCTGCAGGATCTCAGTCAGCTGGGCACCTGGGCCAGCTGAGCCAAGCGAGCTGGGTCTTCAGGGTGCTGGACTTTTTGTTCGTGTTTTGTTTTTATGACGAGTGACAGATATCTTGGAGGGTTTTTTTCCTTCCGCGAGGTAAAGTGATAGGTGATACGATTGCGGCGCCGCCTGCCGGGAATGCGCCATCGCCGCCCAACGGCTGGTCTAACCGTGTCTCTGGTCGTCGCCGGGTGCGGGGCTCCGGAGTCCGCGGCTGGAATGGCCAGGTGAGATGTCATGTCATGTGTGGGACCTGTTTCTGATCGAAGGGTGAGGTTTAGGAATTGCTTTTTCCAGCTGGGTGGTTGAAGTGTGGTGGAGTTTTCTGATTCAGTGTATTTGCTAGAGCCTGAGTCGAAGGCAGTGGGAAATGTGAGATGCACTAGGGAGAGAGGCAGCTGCTGCTGGCTGGCTGGTGCCTGCTGCGATGGAGGCGGTCGTGGCTCAAGATCAGCTGCACCTTCCCTCGCTAATCTACGTACCTACCTACCTAGGTGGAAGTGTAGTGAGCAGTCCGCCAACGATACCGCAAGCTGAAACCTACTGCAACCAGCGCAAACAGTGCATGATGACGATGATGTAGATTCTTACTCCTCCACTCTCGAATACATGGCAGAGCTGAAGGTGGGAAGACATTATCACAACATGAGTCGTTGAACAGAACGACAGTCTGTCAATCAATTAATCAATCCATCCATTCACCACCTTCCCTTCTGCACGGCAGAAGCAATGCTCACAAACGAACAGCACCGTCCGAAACAAACCCTGAATATCATCACTCCATCACACACCATAGCGAGGTAAACCGCAATCACTAATCTAGCGCTCCGTCTGTTCGCGCCGTGAGAACTGATAACCTGCCAGAAGCTGCCACCCAAATCGGCAACGCACGCGACGCCTCAATGCGCATTCTTTTTTTAATTTATTCTTTTATATTTGTCTTTCTTCATTTTTGCACCGTATGGGCAAGTGACTTGACCATGAGAGGAGATACCTTGACCAAGAATAAGATACATCGCTCGAACGGTTCCCCTTTGTTTGTCTCCATCGGGGGGGTGCATGCCGTCGACATCTCAGACACGGACAGGGTGGATGAGACCAGGTCTCGAAGGCTGGGCGGTATTGCTGGCGGACGTGCCTGGAATGGATGCGAGTGCTCCCTCTTGCCCTTGAGAACTCCCACTGCCTTCCATCTGGCGATGCTGCAGCAAAGCACGAATCTGCTGACTCGACGATGGCGGTTCAAGGTGAAGCAAGGACAGTCGAATCAATCACGCTATTGAGTACTATCAAGGCAGCACTGTCGTGCCCCAAAGGCCCAATGGTCACAAGCACGGAAAAGGGGTGAAAGAGATATGTGGCTGGAGGATGCAACCCATTTCTCTTGACACGACTCGCTCGTAGCAAGAGCAAACTTCCGATTCAGAAACCCGGTCATGGCGGGACTGTTGGCAATGGCTCTTGTCTACCAACCAACGATCAACGCCCCCAAATGTCCAGACACCAGCCGTTCGACAACCCGCAGCGGACGTACGTAGGTAGAGCTGACCATCGCAGCAAGGGCCTCCCGAAAATCGTCGCTGTCAGCGACGTCATGCCCGTCCCCATGTCTCTCCAGCCAATGCTCCAGGTCTCATCCGTTCTCGATGGCCAAGATGGAAATGTGAGCATTCTTCCATACTCCCTCACATCCCTCCACAGCGCATTTGCTTGCTTTCCCCAAGTTTCCTGCTCCTCTGCCTCTGGCCACCCCCTGCCAATCATACCCCACACCACCCTCGCGAGCTGTCCCGTCCCCCAGTGTGGCAGAGACAGAAACTCGCCCCCCCCTGTCCGGGGAGCTTCCACCGTGTGCCCCGGATGACAAGGCTCCCTCTGCTCATCACAAATGACCAGATAGCCAGCCATCCCAGCGAGATTCCACGATCGAGCTACATCGCACCGCCTTGGCGACGCGACAATCGGCGAGGTACATCGAATGCTCAGGGACAATAGACGACCAACTGCGCGGCGCGTTCAGTGTTGGTTTAGAGGTAGCAAACGGTGGTGGGTGGTGAGCTGTTGGCCAGCGGCCGTCTGGCCCCTCCCCCATTATCAATCCGACACCAGTTCCAGAATAGCCACCACATCGTGCACGCCAGCAAAGCGAGACCAGGAAGGCGACGCGCATGAAGCGCTCACCAAGGCACGTGGGCTCACCGCGTCGGCATCACTCGCGCACGCACCGACGCGCGGGAAATAAAACGTCTGCTGCTATTGCATACGCTACTATTGCATACGCTACTTCGAGTCGGTGAAGGGATGGTGCAAGAAAAAAAAAAACCCCCATGTTCGACAATCAATGCTCAAAATGCAGCCAAGGCATAGTAGGAAGAAACTGCCGGCATGCACGTCCACGCAAAGAAGCGGTCTCAATTGCTTCTCGAAGAAACTAGACGATAACACACCACACCACAACACATCTCACCACACCACACCACTGGACAGGAACACACACACAAACTGGCGCACCCCCATGCTTTACCTGTCCTCCTGACCGCCCCCCCCCCCTCTTCATGGTACGCTGCCCCCATGCGTCCGACCCCCATTTGCACACCACCTTCCTGGCGACAGCAAGATGATGCAATCAATGCGACCGCCGCTTTCGGGCAGCTGAATATCTCCCCATCCCTGCCATACAGTCACGCTCAGTGATAGAGGGCTTCTTTGGGGGGGAAAGGAGATGTCTGGTTTGCCCAGAACGCCCCTTCGATAACCGCTCCCGTTTTGTCGCGTCACATCTCGCGCCCTGACAATGGTGTTTCTGTAGTGAGTGAGCAAGTGGGGGGATGATGTCCCGCGGCGAGTCTGTCTACCACGGCTCCCCAATCCGTGGCTTCCTGTCTCGCCTAACTCGCCTCGATGTCTCGCGGGGCAGCCCCTCCGCCCACCCAGCGACGAACGGTTGGTTTTCTGACCTTCCGCATCGGAGCCGAGTCTGTCACAGACCTCTTATTTTCTGCCCACGCCTGACGCGAGAGTTTGCTTCTTCATCAAGTCAGGGGACCTTCTCTCTCTCTCTCTCTCTCTCTCTCCCTATCATTATGTTCAAAAACGGAAAAGGATGCAGAATCATGATTGATGAGCCGTGTTTGCTTCGGGAAGCGCAAAACGAGTACATCCAGCTTGGCGACCTGTCAGGAGAAAGAGAAGGAATGAAATCCAAAACCGACGTTCGCCATCAGGGTGTGCAAGACGGCGTCGCATGATCGCCACGCGCTAACAGTCATTTCTGATCCCGACTCGTCTGCGTTCTCCTGGTCGGTCATTTGAGCCGAATGGAAGAGGCGGCAAGGCGCGCGCAGAGCATGGCGGATGCTCGAAAAGAGGATGAACTAATAACTGGCCCAGCACGCAAAGAGGGGGGAAAGGGCCCA